CCCCCAGCCTGGCTGTCCTTGGTCCGCCCCTTTCATTCATTGGATTTCAGTTCTATCAATCACGGAGGCTCAGCATCACATGTGGGCGTTACCTAGGGCGGTCAACATGCAAATACAGCCTGCCTAGGAACCTTTACTTCCCCAGGCTGACACCCGCCCATCAAGGCAATTTTTATATTTGCAGAAGAAGAGCTCCGGGCATAATAAAATTTAAGCCTTGCAGTGGGGCTACCCCCTTACTACAAGGGTTAAGTGCTCGTTTTGGTCTAAGGTTTAGAACAAAAAAGATACTCACCTTATCCTCGGTCGCGCCTGGCTGCAAAACCCCACAGCCTCCTCTCCCCAGGCCCCAGCAGTCTAAGGACCCGTGACATGATCACGTCCATTCACTTGCATTGGACGTGAGGATGCTGAGGGGCATTCCACTACTGGAGCAGAGGACGTGAGAGATGAGTGGTCACCACTGTAGGCCCGAGGATCAGGTGAGTGTATCTTTTTTATTTTATTTTACCCTGGACCCTACACTAAATCAAGCAGTTAGCCCCACTGCAAGGGTTCATTTTTTTTACATGCCCAGAGTTCTTCAAAGGGTAAGGACCCTCTAATGTTGAAAATAACCCGACACTTATTCTGGAAAGGGCACCTCCATTTTATTGAGAAAAGGCAACCCCTTGAAGGCCAGTTATAGATATTGATAGGATATAAAGTGTATCTAAAACAAAAACCTTTTTTGTTTAGTTTTGGACATGGAGCGGTCACAGCAAGGCATTGGGTGCACTTCAGTATTCTCAATGTTTCACTAAAACTTTATTGTTTCGTAAAACATACACAAAGACAAAAGACGGGATGCACATCAATGATCTTAGAGTTTCAATAAAACTTTATTGTTTTGTAAACCGTGCACAAGGAAGTCAAAAGATCAGATGCACATCAATGATCTTAGAGTTTCAATAAAACTTGATTCTTCTGTAAAACGTGCACAAAGAAGTCAAGGGGCCGGATGCACACCAATGAGTGCTAATAAAACTTTATTGTTTCGTAAACCGTGCATAAAGAATCCAATTATCAACAGCACGCCGTTGTTCACAGCATTTCAATAAAACTATATTGTTCTGTAAAACATGCACAAAGCAGCTAAAAGACCGACCATACAATGATGATCTCAGTGTTTATCATAGAACATGGAGGTCCGTCCCCCCTTCAGGCAGCATTTCTAGTGTAAGAAAGTCAAGAACATCGGCCTGGATGCCACAGTCCAGGCTGCCTGTTGTAGGGACCTCATGCTCTGTGCAGAAACAGGGAAACAATTAACAGGTACAGTGAATTGCGATTTAAAAAAATCGTGTCTACAAACTGTGTATCGCTGTTGCCATGGTTGCCAGGAAGATATATGCGATCTTTTTGACACCTTTAGAAAATCATAACATTGCAGATTGAAATTGGAAGGTAACTTATGTAGCGCTCACCCCCGAAGGAGCCGCCAGAATAACCCTGGTTCTCCTCTTCCAACAATAGCAGAGGCCTCCTCTAGACTTGAGGCCTAACAGAGCAGTTCCCACACTCATGTATTCCCACCCCCATGCCTCATCCGGGGGCAGGCTGGACTGCACCCAGCCCTGACTGGACTCTGTGCTGTGCCAGAATTGGACTAAGCACATGGAAATTCCCCTGAGTATATATGCCCTGTCCCAGCATGCAGTGGCTTTACAAGGGGGGTGCGCCCTGCACCCATGTGACACCATTGGAGAGGTGACACCAAAATGACTGAGAGTCATTTTGGTGTCACCCCCTCTGAAAAGTGGGGCACTCGGTCATGGACTTAGAGCCCAACAGTTGCTTACCTTATCCCGCCGGGTGAACATCCCCTCCTCTCTCTGCCGGCATCCATCACCAAGATGGCCACGGGCAGATAACAGCAGTACAGCACGTGAGGTTATCACGCGCGCGCGTGATGACGTCAATGCAGGGTGTCACCCAGTACCCGCCCCGGGTATCTCCCCGCCGCAGGACGCCTCTGCCAGCTTGCACCACTGGCTATGAGAGCCCCAGTGATTGGCTGGCGCACTGCACACATTCTCACAGTGTCCCCCATTGGCTGTCCCACACTGCAGCAGAGTCACACTCCGCTCAGGCGGGTACAATCAATGCCAGAACACCCATTTTTTTTACAAAACTACGTGAGCTGATGTAAGTCTTACGCAGAGAGTTAGATTAAATATTGATTACTTATAAATAGTTTTCCTCAAAAGTGGTTATTAACGTCACTTATCTTCTCCAGCTGCCCTCCTATACATAATACAATGCAATTATAAGCTGTTACAGCAAACAAAACTTAATGTGTACAGCATAGTTATGGGACGGGGACAAATCCAGGAGAATAGAGAGTTCATTGAAGTGTGCCTGAAGCCAGTCCTGTGCAGGAATAGGCAACCTAAGGCCCCTTTCCCGCGGGCTGATCAGGAGGGGACCCATGCATGGATCTTCTCCTGATCACAGCAGTACGGAGCAGATATAAGCTCTGTAAAATCCATGTCTGTACAGACACCATGTCTGTCTGTGGGGAATTGGATGTCAACGGACATGTGACCGTTTACCTCATATTACCCCCGATCTGGCGAAACGGGATACTTTTCTGTTTGTTTTTCCAAACCTGGCCGGAGTCGGGGGTAACCGGGTATAAACGGACGCCCGTCCGTTTACACACGACTGCCCATAGACATACATTGGGCATCCGATTGGGTCCGCTTGAAAAACTGACAGGCAGACATGATCGGACTGGCTGTGTAAAAGGTGCCTAATGCACACATGCCAGGGCGGGCACACAATGTCAATTTTTAATTGGACCTGGGAGATCATTACGTGGCATGTGTGTAGACTCAGAAGAGGCAGGCTATGCTTTGTAACTGACAGGATAATGGGCAATCAGTTACAACCTATGGCATCGGCACTGTATTTGTTGGGCGCACGGACCATAGGTTGTAATTGACAGCTTGCTAGGCAGTCAGTTACAAAGCCTGGGCTGCCTGTGTGCCCACAGACCACCCACCTTCATGACATTTCAGAGAGGCCGGTGTAGGCCTTCCGCAGACATTTTTGTGTGCTTAAGTCTTCCTGCCTACCAACTTCCTTCTTTTAGTAGAAGGTATCAGTGTGAAACCCCTGTGTTTATGATGGTGCCGGAATGGGAGCTGATCTGAGGTGTGAAGGTTCAGGAATTGGGTCTGATCTGAGGTCTGAAGGTGCAAGAATTGGGGCATGGTGCCGGAATGGGAGCTGATCTGAGGTGTGAAGGTGCAAGAATTGGGGCTGATCTGTGGTCTGAAGGTGCAGGAGTTGGGGTGATCTGAAGGTGCAGGAATTGGGGCTGATCTGAGGTCTGAAGGTGCAAGAATTGGGGCATGGTGCCAGAATGGGAGCTGATCTGAGGTGTGAAGGTGCAGAAATTGGGAGTTGATTTGAGTCTGAAGGTGCAGGAATTGGGGCTGATCTGAGGTCTGAAGGTGCAGGAGTTGGGGCTAATCTGAGGTCTGAAGGTGCAAGAATTGTGGCTGATCTGTGGTCTGAAGGTGCAGGAGTTGGGGTGATCTGTGGTCTGAAGGTGCAGGAATTGGGAGCTGATTTGAGTCTGAAGGGGCAGGAATTGGGGCTGATCTGAGGTCTGAAGGTGCAGGAATTGGGGCTGATCTGAAGTTGTGCAGGGATTATGGCTGATCTGATGTCCTAATGTGCAGCAATTGGGGCTGATCTGAGGTCTGAAGGTGCAGGAATTGGGGCTGATCTGTGGTCTGAAGGTGCAAAAATTGAGGCTGATCTGAAGTTGTGCAGGGAATAGGGCTGATCTGATGTCCTAATGTGCAGCAATTGGGGCTGATCTGAGGTCTGAAGGTGCAGGAATTAAAACTGATCTGAGGTCTGAAGGTGCAGGAATTGGGACTGATGTAGGGCCTTAAAGTTCAGGCATTGGGACTGATCTGAGGTGTGAAGGTTCAGCATTTGGGACTTATCTGAGGACTTAAGTTGCAGGAATTGGGGCTGATGTGAGGTCTGAAAGCATAGAGATCGGGCCAGATCTGAGGTCTGAAGGTGCAGGAATTGGTCAGTGGCCTATGTTGTGCTATTCACTGACACACCACTTGTCTAATGCTTGTAAATGGACACTTTCAGGGTTATTCACACAAGGGTGAAGAGTTTGGAGAAGGCCGGAGAACTGAACAATCTAGGACAACATCGCTGAACTGGAAAGTGAGCTGATTTGGAGAATTTTTTCATATCAGCGATGTTGTCCTAGATTGTTCAC